GCAGCTGCATATATGCCAGAGGATTAAGATTTAGGTTAGTGAAGCGGACCGCAAATGGCAGTGCTTCTTGGATTCTAACTAATTTTGTAGTCAGCCCCTGTAAACTTTCGTGAATTTTTTAATCCTGCCGAGTCCAGGGTTTCCTGGCCTAGATCATGCATTCAAGATACAATTTTGTAAACTTCCCAAAACTCTTTAAAAACGATTTAAAGTAAAATTTAGGTGCCTGTTTGGTAGTGTACATCGTTCGAGTTGCAGCTCTACTCACCGTACAAGAGTTTACTGGACCATTTGGATTATTTGTTATCCAAACGCCGTGATGCTTCTGTGATTCTGCTTGTTAGAGGGACCTTACTTTAACCCTGTAGGTGCGCATACCAGTGACCCGGTTTTGATTGCTGACACGCAGTTTGGCAAACATGTTTAGGTTAAACGACGGAAGCCACGTCCAAGACCACTCTTCTAATCGGAATAAGATTTTTATGAAAGTTCACCTCGTCGGCAACATTGTGGGTGACTTTCCAGATTTCGATACTGTCGACAATTATGACATTTCACGGTCCCGTTCTTGTATATAATCATTACTAGGCAAAAGAAAATGTCGGTTCCAACGCTAAACCATATGAAACATCAGTCGCCATGACAGTAGGCCTGATTGTTGTTGTTCAAAACAGACAACTTTGGAACAACCGACGAGGACATTTTCGACTCATTACTATTAAACTGTGTGAGATACGTTGGTTCAGAACACTATCAAAGGTCTTTCTAAAATCAACGTAAACGTCAAACGCAGTGGGCTTTTAACTGAGTACTCTTGTCCGGCCCTGTAGCGCAAGTTCGGTCCGCGCCATCTCCCTTCATAAGAGCTGTACTGTGTATTGGACAAAAGGTTGTATGCTTGGAATTGAATGCAAATTCCTCTTTAATGGTCTTCGCCATGAAGGTGTAACTGACTGATGCCAGGCTGACGGATCCGTAATCGGTCGCTGTAGAACGTCTAACATTTTTGTGTTTTGATGTAATGTGCGCTGTTTTCCAGTCGGCTGAATAAATTACAATATCCAGCGACTTGTAACAGTAATGAAGATAACAATAATTGTATTTCATAAATAAGTAGGTGATTTTATTAAAAGACACTTGGGGTTCCGTCATAGCAAGTAAATATAAATTTTTAAGTAACTTTTAAAACAAATAGACAGGTTCTGTGCATTATTCATTTTTCGGTTGTACAATAAGCAGTCACATATAAAAACAGTCAGCGAGCGGTGAACAAACTTCTTATGAGAAAAACTAGATTAGTATGAATTCGTTAACTTTTAAGGAGAAAAAATCCGCTGATCATGAAAGGGAAAATATGCGGGCCAAAGAAGACTGGCCTACGGGCCTTGATCCTTTATGGTTCCGTAGATTACAAAAGGGACTATTTTTGCTATTTAAACTCTTATTCAATCACACATTTGACCCACTCACTCCTTTAAGACATCATATCCACCCACGACGTAACAGTCACCGTGAGGTCTTCTTATTTCTGCGTCTGGCACGTACTGTTAAATATCATCGGTTCTATTCTGTAAATGCAATTGCTATTTGGAATAAACTACCAATGAGTGTGAAAACTCTGCAAAATTATCCTTTATTTAAGAGAACTATTACTCGATTTTTGCATTCTGAAAAGCTTCCTCAAATTTTGGGTTCTGAATCCACTGATGGACTACCGTAGCGATGACGCTTGTGGTCTCTGAACACTATGGCCGGTCTCACCAGCTGTTCCTCAACGCCTCTCCTTTGACTATTCCCAACTTCATGAAAGGAATAGACGTCCGATAATCTCCGATACCGTGCAACCCCCTCCCCCCCCTTCTTGACGGTCGAAAATCTACCGCCAGCAGTTTTTTTTTCTCCTGAACCCTCCAAACCATAATAACCAACACCAACTATATTTTTATTCTTCAGGAGTTTTTTTTCCCTGCTGGTCGGATTTGTGTTTAATCGCTTCCCTTGACAATGCCTGTAAACTGGCATTTAATAAATTAAATTTAATTTAAATTTATAGTATTGTATAAGAGATTCAAAACGTTATCATCAAGGCCGAACTTCCTAAACCGAATGAGATTATCCGCCTTGAAGTGGTAAAACAGAGGAATCTAGTCGCGATTGGACACCGTCCGCTTAGAATCCAGCAGAGGGTGGGACAACAAGCGCTAGGGCGGTCATAAGAGCATAGAGGGAAGAATGCGACCATGAGACCTCTTTGCTATCCGACAAAATTACTAGCAAATGGCGAAAGCAGAGGATTCGCGCCATGACCGTCAACGGACCATTTGTGGTCGAAAGGAGGATTTGACATCAAGATATACGGGGTGAGGGTTAGAAATCATGCGACCAGAGTGGAATTCTGATGAGTGTCGGCAATAAGCGAAACAGAGGCGACTTAGAGCGTGCACATCCACCCAGCCACACTACTTTTTCGAGAGAATTTGTCAGGAAGCACAGTTTGGAATTGTCATGGTATTCAACTGAGCAGGAAACTGAAGATGAACAAGGCCGTCATCCTACCGACGCTGCTGTACGGAGCGGAGATTTGGACGGTGTACACAAAGCAGGCACGCCGTCTGAACCACTTCCACCTCAGTTGTCTTCATCGCATACTGAGGCTAAGCTGGCAGGATCGAATCCCCGACACTGATGTACTGGAACGGACGGGAATCCTCAGCATCTACACCATGCTGAGACAAATGCAGCTGCGTTGGAGCGGTCACCTGGTGCGCATGCACGATGAGCGACTACCCAAACGACTCTTCTGCGGCGACGTTCCAACGGGTTCTCGCCGCCAATGAGGAAAAATTCGTCGATACAATGACACCCTGAAGTCCTCCTTGACGCGTCTGCAAATTAACCCGACCAACCGAGAAGATCTCGCCCACGACCGACCGACCTGGAGGAGGACAGTGAAAACAGGCGCTGCGATCTATGAAGCCACTCGCATCGCCGCCGCCAAAGTGAAAAGTGAAGCACGCAAACCACAGTTGCACCCACTCCACAACGCCGACTCACAACCGCTTCCAACGTGTTCTCGGTGTCAACGAACATTCCGGGTACGAATTGGATCCATTGGACACCTTCGGACCAACTGCACCTCCCATACCGCACCAACCGCCGTCCCTCCGCCCGCCTCTTCCTCGTCCTCTCCGCCGCCGACTAACTCTGGCTACTCTTTTGAACCACCACTTCCATCATCCTCCTCCTCCACTGCCCCAACGACGGCCGCTCTAGCGGCTGTCAAGGACGTCAGCAGCCCTGACACGTCAACAGACACCATCCCTCCAACCTCCGACTCCAGAGGTGAGGACCAGGGCTACAGCTGCCGCCACTGCGACCGCACCTTCACCTCACACATTGTCCTGGTCGGTCACTTGCGAATCCATCGCACAGAGACTGGTGAACTAGTGCCTGGAGCACCAGCCTACACCCACTGCATTCGCCTCCACTGCCCACACAGCCCTCGCGCTTTCACGCATCGCATAGGCCTCTTCGGCCACAAGAGCATCCATGAGAGCGGAATTGACCGCCCTCCCGACACACCCACCACACCAAACCCCACCACCACTTCGTCGCCCTGTGCGCCCACCGCCCTTCCCGCAACTGACACCGACGCCACCGACTTCACCTGCCCACACTATCCCCGCACAGTCACGTCTCGCATCGGCCTGGTCGGTCGTTTGCGAATGCATCGCACAGAGTCTGGCGAACCAGTGCCTGGAGCACCAACCTATACCCACCACGCTCGGCTCAACTGCCCACACTGTCCTCGCACTTTCGCGCATCGCATGGGCCTATTCGGCCACATGCGCATCCAGGAGAGTGGAACTGACCGCCCTCCCGACACACCCACCACATCCAACACATCCACCATGCCCAGCCCCATGGGCCTCTTCGGCCACATGAGCATTCACGAAGACCTGTGGTAGACAACCGCCGGCTGCATCGCACCATTACACCCTTCCTCACCACCAACTCACCACACATCAACACTCACCCACCACAAGCACCCAACTGCCACCTCCCACGCAAGTGCGAAGTGTGTATCTCGACTCGGTACCCATGCGGCTTCGGCTGCACGGCCAACTCGAGTCTGAGACTATCCCGACACGTCAAGCGTCGTGGATAGGAAGGCTGCTGATTGACGCCCCCTCTCGGTTCACGCAGTCTGTCCCGTTATGTGTGTTGTGTGGAGTGGCGGACTGGTGGACTGGGAGACGGGCTGAAACAGCACCTTCCACGGGCCTCTCACGCAAGTGAGAGACAAGCCGTTCAACCCCCGTTGTGTGAAATCCTGGTGTATGTGTGTGTCTGGGAGGCCAGGTCGTGCATGCGGCGCACGCAGACATGGTCAATCGGCCATGCCAGCCACCGCGCCCATTCCCCACTCCAGTTTGTTGACCGGCTCGGACAGCGGCTGGGGTGCGGGAATGGGAAAAGAGAGTGAGGTGGACGACTCAGCGCATTTTTTCCTCACTGTAAACAATCTGACGCGCGTGAAGCTATCACGGTGCGCTAAAAGCCGTGGCTTGAAGGCTGCCAACTGACGGGATAACTTGGAGCTCCTCCTTGGCTGGTGGCGGTCTGAGAGTCAGGCTGCAATGGCTCCTTCTTAATGTGGCCTATATGGCATTCCCACTGTGTGGGATCCGAGCCAAGCGTTGGCGGCAAGCCTAGGTGCGGCTGCTCCGGCCGTGCCAGCCTCCAATGTCTGTTGTGTTGGTCAAAATTCTGGTCATTTGTTGTGTGGACCAGGGGGCGGAGTGGAGCGCCAAGGTGAGGATGCGCCCGAGCCATCCACCAGCGGCCTCCCTCGTCTCCGGTCTTCTTGACTCTGTCTTGACACCGGGCCCAGGCGGGGGAGGAGGAGAGTGTAGGTAGATGCTACGCAAGTCTACTGGCACTATAAACCCCTGCGTAAGTCACCGTCCCTGCTCCCACCGCTGCTGCAGCTGTGGGGCACACGGTGGACATCTTCGAAATCGACGGTCGAACTGTCGTCGTCGTCGTGTGTGTGTGTGTGTGTGTCCGATGCAGGCGTTATATATCAGGGTATGCTTAGGTTTGCGAAGCAATTCTAAACAACCAAACATCTTTGTGCATGGCTATGTAGCACGAGGCTTAGTATATTGCAGTCTTCCGTCTGGGTTTTCTTATGCACCAGTCTATTTTTATGCACAATTTTCTATCATAGACAATACGCGCTGGGTAGGAAAACATAATTCTCGTGACTTCGGTGTTCCAAGGTTAGCTGAGAAGCTTCCTTTTTGAATGGGGGTTAGGGCATTCTTGACGCCAGGCAGCGAAGTTTTTATCACAAATACTAACTAGAATGCCTCCTTGTGTCGGTACCCGAACTGTACAGACCAAATACAAGCTTGCTCTGGCATCAGGTTTTTTTTCTGATTGATGAGCACTAATCAACAATGCTGCGGGACCGTCGATAGGTAAAGGCGATTATGCCATTTTACTGTATCCCTGGATAAGTTCTTGCAGTCCCCAAACATAGTAAGTGTATTATAGAGCCAGAAGACAGCCTTCTCTACTATCGTTTCCAGCTTTTGATTCGCATAAGTGGCCCAATGTAAATCCGAATGTACTCCCACCGGAAGAGCACAGTCTCCATTCAGACGCCTAGAATTTCGAATTTTAAGGTTTGGAACACGTTCATTACAAGTAATATTCGATAATATTCCTTAACAACAAAGAGGCTCCTGTAGGTATACTACTGGCAGATGCCAAAGAGCAACATAAAAAGCCTGAAATTTGTATCCTTCTAACATGACGGAGCCAGATCTGACTTAAAGACAAACTGTTTGATTTAGTAAAAGACCGAAAAACCTATATATTTAACTGAATTGCTGACGGAAATCATTAAGTCACTACACTCATCACTTGCTGAGGAAGTCAATCAAATGAACTAGTGTCAATACTTTGTCATCAGAACTATTCAGAGACCAGCAGAACATTCGAACTCATGGAAGACATCCTCCGTGAGCATTGGTGCCAATTCCCTAACAGAAAAGTGAACCTTGGTCAAGGTTTTACTAAAGAACGTTTATAAACAAAATCTTGCCACATCTGGAATGGCAGCTCGATCGTCGTTATCTACGACGTCCACCGTGTCCTCCACGGCAGGGCGAAAGCAATGACGGTGAGTTGCGCGTGACTCCTTATACATAAATGTTAGACTTGCACTGCAGCTGCCGTACTCTCTCCCCCTCCCCCACCTGCGTCCGCCGTCAAGACAGAGTTAAAAAGGCCGGAGGCGGGAGAGGGCGCAGATAGTTGGCACGCCGAAAACCCGCATCTAGGCACACTACTTCGCCCCCTGGTCCGCAACCTACATTGGCCAGGATTTTACACAAAAAGAGAAGAGCGGGACGGACCAGATGCCACATAGACCACATTAAGAAGCAAACATTGTAGCCAGACCCTCATTCCACCAGTCGACCACTCAATCCACAAACACACACTGGGCTCACTGCTAGGTCCGAGTTATCTCGTCAGTTAACAACCCTCCAAGCCACGGCTTTTGACGCACCGTCAAACCGTTTGCAATGAGTAATATGCGCTGAGGACGTCGACGTCATTCTCTCTTCTCACTCTCAGGCACCCCGCCCACTATCCGAGCCGGTCAGATATTTGATGCCGGAAGCGGGCGCAGTAGCTGACAGAGTTAGAGACTTCGTCTGCGCGCGCCACACGCAGGACCTCGAGCCCCAGGGTTAAACACACGAGGGGAAAGCGAATCCGATGATATAGCTGTATCAGTCTGACTCTCAGTCCACCGGTCGGCCACTCATGACACTAGCACACAGCTGGGCTGACTACGTGGTCTCCCTTCCTAGACTGCGCTGACAGACCGGCATCCGCATCCCATACAATGAGGTACAGGCGTGCGGACGGTGACGACGGCATGTCATATCTGTCAGTGGAACACTTTGCCGCGAGTTCCCTGCGTCTACGGCCTGTTCTTAAGACGTCCCTATGCCCTCTGAGACATGCCTGAACGCGTGTTACACGATCACCTGTCGTGTATCCATTTCATGTACCTCTACTTCGAATAATGTACATGTGATCCCAACTAAGGGCTACCCGAAAATTTTGAATGCATCATCCATGAAGGCGTATATATATATATATTTTTTATGACAATGGGCGCTCACCGATCAGGTTACGGAACGTGCTCGTTCGCTTGTGCCTTGAGGCTCATACTAGAACCCTCGCAGGCAGTCTCACAGAGAGTAGTAGTAGACATAGATGAGTTGATGCCGACAAAGACAAGGGAGACCGGAATGGCCATTTCTGGCTTATTAGCCGTCATCAGCCAATCATACCCAACCCCAAGTGTGGATCACTTGAGATTCGAACCCGGGATCTTTGGTCATGGAGTTTGACACTCTACCGCCGAACGTGATCTCACGACACCCCTCATATGGGATTCAAACCACCCCTCTGTTCTGAGAAAACCCAGTAATTGCCCGCGGGAACCGGATCGCGCGTGGCACGCGCAGGCGGACCACTCCGTCCCGTCAAACTCAAGGCTCGAGCCCGCCTTAGATCGCCGTGAGTCTGTTTTGCCATCAGACCCAGACATTTAAGGGAGGAGGGGACACGGCGGATGTCGCACAAGTCCGCTATTATCACAAACCTGTTCATGCGCAAGTCCCCGTCCTGCGTCCACCACGCCGGACATCGTCGTTTGAGCCGGCGGAATTGTCATTTTCTTGATTCGTGACAGAGGTGACTTGTGGGATGGTCTCTACTCCAAAAGACATTCCCAGGTTCGGTTTTATGTCGAAGTTCGGATCAACGACGAGGATGCGGGATAACTGTATATGCACGCATTATTTCCTTTGCTGATCTAAAAGCTACCTCCGGCAACGTCCTCCTGAATAAGCGGCAGATGACCATGTTGGTTTATTTTGTCGATGCTATCAGAAAGGAGAAGGAAGGTATTGATGAAAACATTTTGTAAGTTCTCTGCATGACTCTGAAGCAGAAACCGTTTCTGAAAGCAAATCAGATGGACACTACTCCATTAAGGGTTTTTGGTAATCGGACGGTAGTTCGACCATCGTTGCCGACGATGCCCAGAGCTTGCTTCACAGCAAGGCG